AACTGTTGCGAAAATGATTAATGATAAGAGCATTTTGAATTCTCTTCCAATGCTTGACGACAAGAATTGAATCCGATGGAAAAAATAGATGCAGTCCTTGTTTGACTTCCATGAAACTCTAGAAGTGGTTACCGACGACGTTTCTGCGTTGGCTGCAAATGCAACCGACGAACAGAAAAAAGTCCACAACGAAGTCAAGAAGAAAGATTGCAAGACTGCTTATTACATTCAGACAGCGGTCGATGCTGCTAATTTCGACAGAATGTCTCATGCTGAAACGGCGAAGGAGGCATGGGATATTATGGTGAAGTATTACGAAGGAGGTGAGAAAGTCAAGGTTGTCAAGTTACAAACCTTACGTCGGCAATATGAGTTGTTGTCAATGAGAGAAGATGAAAAAGTTACAGAATATGTGTCGAAGGTTCAAAAACTCGTTCATCTCATGAAGGGTTGTGGTGAAACTATAACTGATAAGATGATAGTTCAGAAGGTAATGAGAACGTTGACCTCTCACTTTGATCACGCTATCGTAGCTATTCAAGAATCCAACAATCTTGAAACCACTAAAGTGGAAGATTGGTTGGTTCGTTGGAGGTGCATGAGATGAGGATTTTCGAAAGGAAAATAGTGCAAGACTCGATACATGCTCTGCAAGCTTAGTCATGGAAAAAGAATGGTGGTTCCAACAAATTCAAAGGCAAGTTCGACAAGACTCAGGGCAAGAAGTCTTGGTCGAAACCTCACAAACATCAGGTCAAAGATGGAGCTTTTAAATCCTTGAAAGGAGGAGGAGGAAACTATCAAAAGAGCAAAGGAGATAAAAAAGGTGTGCAATGTTATAACTGTGAAAAGTGGGATAACGTAGTCAAAAATTATTGGTACAGAAAAGACAAGGGATTGACAAGCAAGGACGAAGGAGCAAACCTTGCACGCCAAGATTCAGATGATTCTGAAGATGGTATGGTGGTTATGGTTGCAGTTGCAGATAATCATTTCGAATCCAAAATCTGGTTTCTCGACTCATGTTGCTCGAACCACATGACTGGTCGAAAGAAGTGGTTGGCAGATTTTGACGAGTCGAAGAAGTGCAAGATAAACTTGCTGATAATAGTTCGTTGCAAGCAGAAGGTACTGAAAATATAGTCTTTCAAATGAGTAATGGAGGGAAAGCTATGATCAAAGATGTGCTTTATGTACCTAAAATAAAGTGCAACTTGCTAAGTGTTAGACAACTAGTCGAAAAAGGTTTCTCAGTTGTCATGAAAGATGGAGTTTTAAAATTGTTCGACACCAAGAACAATTTGGTCTTAAAATCTCCGTTATCGAAGAACATGACATTTAAGACTATGATAAGTTCGACTGAAGTTCAATGTTTGAAAATTATTGTTGACCACAAGGATCATTTGTTGTGAGATTTGAGGTTTCCATATTTGAATTTCGATCACTTAATCAACTGATTACTCAAGACATGGCTACTGGAATTTCAAGTCTTGAGATGCCTAAAAAACTTTTTGAAGGTTATTTAGTAGGAAAAAAATGTAGAAATTATTTCGTTTCGACTATGCCAATGAGATCATCTTGCATACTCGAAGTGGTACATTTAGATGTATGTGGTCCATTCGAAGAACATACAATTGGTGGAAACAAATATTTTATTTCTTTTGTCGATGAGTTTAGTCGAAAGCTGTGGATCTATGTGATCAAACGAAAGGACGAAGTATTCAAAATCTTTAAGAGATTCAAGATACTTGTCGAAAACCAGAGTGAGAAGAAGATCAAAGTTCTGCGAACAAATGGAGGTGGCGTATACACATCCAAGATGTTTGAAGATTTCTGTATAGAACATGGTGTTGATCACGAGGTAACTGCTCCTTATACACCTCAACATAATGATATTGCTGAAAGAAGAAACATAACCATATTAGATATGGCAAGATGCATGCTGAAGCAAAAGAATTTGTCAAAGTCTTTATGGGGAGAAGCTATTTCGATTGCAGTTTGTATTTTGAATAGGTGTCCTACCAAGATATTGAAGAATAAAGTTCCTGAAGAAGTATGGAGTGACAAACGACCATCAATGAGTCATTTGAAGGTGTTTGCCTCTATGTGTTACAAGCATGTTCCTGATACAAGAAGAAGGAAGCTTGATGATAAGAGTGAACCTATGATTCTGGTAGAATATCATAAAACTGGTGCATATAGACTATTAAATTCAGTTAATGAGAAGATTGTGTTGAGTCGAGATATTGTGATTAATGAAAATTCTGCATAGGATTGGAATTATAGCAATTCAATTAACAAGCCATTGGTGAGTTTTGATGTCGGTGAAGAAACTGATGAAGAAGAGGTCGAAGGAATTGTTAAGAATCCAGTCGAAGTCGAAGAAGAAGCAGTTGATGACATTTCCGACACAGTCGGAGTCGAAGAGGATGTGGCTGAAACAAGCAAAAGACCTCAAAGAAATAGAGTTCTTCCAAGAATATTTCATGATTATGAAGTGGTGGGTGATGATGAAGTCACACCAGATGGAGAATTAGTTCATTTTACTTTACTTGCAGGTGCTAAATCAATTAACTATAGCGAAGCTTTGAAGACTAAACAGTGAAAGTTAGCTATGGTCGAAGAGTTACAGGAAATCGAAAGAAACAACATATGGAAGTTAGTCTAATTGCCAGCACATACAAAAGCTATAGAAGTAAAGTGGGTATTCAAGTTGAAACATAATGTTGATGGCTCGATAGCAAGATATAAATCAAGATTAGTAGCTCAAGGGTTTCTTCAAAGAGAAGGACTCGACTACTTTGAAGTATTTGCTCCAGTAGCAAGGTTGGAGACTGTTCGACTAATGGTAGCATAAGCATGCAACCAAGGTTGGTCGACATTTCATTTAGATATGAAATCAGCATTTCTGAATGGTCCTTTAGGCGAAGAGGTCTATGTAACACAACCAGGGTTTGTAATTTAGAGGGAAGCAAGTAAAGTATATAAGTTGCACAAAGTGCTCTATGGCCTCAAACAGACACCTAAGGCATGGAACGAGAAGATCGACTCATACTTAGTCAAATTGAGATTTGTGAAATGCAAATCTGAGTATGATGTCTATGTTCAGGTTATAACACAAGATATAACATTCATCTGCTTATATGTCGATGAATTGCTAGTAGCTGGAAATAGCTTGGAGAACTTGTCGAAGTTCAAAGAGCTGGCGATGAAGGAATTTGAAATATCTGATCTGGAAAAATTGTCTTATTTCTTAGGTATGAAATTTCAAATTTCGAAGCAAAGTATGGTGCTACATCAAAAGAAGTATGTCAAAGAAATACTCAAGAGATTCAGAATGGATGATTCGAATCATGCATCCTCACTTGTCGAACCAACTGTAAAATTGGAGAAGAATGTAGAGGAAGACGAAGTCGATGTAACTTTGTTCAAGTAAATTGTAGGATCTTTGAGGTATGTGTGTAACAGTCGACCTGATATAGGTTTCACTATATGATTAGTAAGCAAATATATGAGTGAACCAAGAGTGTCACATATGAATGATGCAAGAAGAATCTTGAGATATTTGAAGGGTTCGATAAACTGTGAAATATTATTTCGACGAGATTCTGAAGACAAAGAAGCAATAGTTAATTGTTTTTCAGATGCTGATTGGTGTGGAGATAAGGAAGATCGAAGAAGCACAACTAGATATTTCTTTCAAGTATTTGGTGTCTCAATTTTATGGTGTTCGAAGAAACAACTTGTGGTGACATTATCATCTTGTGAAGTTGAATATATAGCATAATCCTATGTTGCATGTCAAGCAGTTTGGATCAGATCTGTATTTGAAGAAATGAAGATCGAAGTGAAGAAACCTGTTGTATTGCAAATCGACAACAAGTCAACCATAAATCTGGTGAAGAATCAAGTTCTGCATAGAAGAAGTAAACATATTGAAGCAAGGTTTCACTTCTTGAGGGAAAATGTAAATCGAGGTGAACTTGAAGTAAGACATTGCTCGAGTGAAGCACAATTGATCGATCTTTTCACCAAAGGATTGAAGATTGACAAATTCCTGAATTTGAGAAAGAAATTAGGAATAGTTCAGATTGACTATTTTTGAGGATGTTCGACAACTTGGATTATGGGGGTGTGTTGAAATATTAAATTAGATTTGTTAAAATATTAGATTTGATTTGATTAGATTTAATATTTAAATATAATCCAAGTTGTGTAGACCCAAACCCAATTATGGTTGTATATAAATAGTTCTAGTATCATTATTTATATAATTCAATAATATAAATCTTTATTTCCTTTATCATTCCAATTCTGCATAGAAGAAGTAAACATATTGAAGTAAGGTTTCACTTGTTGAGGGAAAAGGTAAATCGAGGTGAACTTGAAGTAAGACATTGCTCGAGTGAAGCACATTTGACCGACCTTTTCACCAAAGGATTGAAGATTGACAAATTCCTGAATTTGAGAAAGAAATTATGAATAGTTCAGATGAATTATTTTTGAGGATGTTCGACAACTTGGATTATGTGGTGTGTTAAAATATTAAATTAAATTTGTTAAAATATTAGATTAGATTTGATATTTAAATATAATTCAAGTTGTGTAGACCCAGATTCAATTAGAATGATATATAAATAGTCGTAGTTCGTATCATTATTTATATCATTCGATAATATAAATCTTTATTTCTTTTATCATTCCCTATTTCTCTCTTCAATAAAGGGACTCATCCACTGACATATCTATGTATGTCAGTTTCTTCTTCTCATTCATGCAGGCATGCCAATGCTCATTTTCATGATCCCGAGCTGCCACAACAGCCCCTCCGATCTCTTCCGGTACTCTCATTAATATCTATTAATCTATATGCATACATGAGAGGTTCCTCTTGTGGTTCCAAAGCAAAGCAATGTTTATATGGAGATTTATATATTTTGCAGAGTGAACATTGTAACTATTATGATGGTGAGACTAGTAGAAATAAAGGGGAATATGAAATGGATGAAAAAATCTCTAGCTTGATTGGCTTACAGACAAGCAGCAAGTTTTACAAAGTTGAATCAGGTTTGATGACCTTATTGAGAAACTGTTTGGAGTCTGAAACTGAGAATTCAAAATCCATTTTGTCCGGTTATGTTGATAATTTCCAGAGCCTTGATTCTGAGGATGCTGGATGGGGTTGTGGATGGCGTAACATTCAAATGCTTAGCTCTCATTTGCTAGCTCGGAGGCCGGAAGCAAGAGAGGTTTTGTTTGGTGGTTTGGGGTTTGTTCCTGATATCCCGTTGTTGCAGATATGGCTTGAGGTTGCTTGGGAAAAGGGTTTTGATGCACCAGGAGCTGCTCAACTTGATCATGTTGTTTATGGTTCGAAAAAATGGATAGGGACTACTGAATGTGCTGCTCTCTTGCGTTCTTTTACTCTTCGCGCAAGAGTAGTGGATTTTGGATCCTGCTCATGTAATTTGTCTTCCTTGCCAACTTCATATTTAGTTGTTAATATCTGTTCTGTCGATCATAATTCCAACGATTTTGAGAATTTGCATGTTACACTATTGTCTGTTTAACCCCAAGGTGCAAGAAAATGGTATTCTGGAGCATGCATGTGTACTAATTTTGCATCCTTTCATTTCAAGTTTCAGACTTGGAATATTTTTTCCATCATAGAGTATGACGGCTCTTGAAAGATCATTAAAGAAGAAAATTGGATGGCAGAAACTTATAAGAAAGGGGAGGAATACACTGAAGAAGCCACAATACCAGGTCTTGCTTCTCTTAAGAAACATGTAAAGCACTTTGTTACATCAAGGTACACTCTGACTATAATTTAATTACATCAGAGGAGAAATTTAAGAAAAAAACTTAGTTTTGTAAAATCATACAAGTGATCTTCATTGTTTCAGATACCAGTTTTTTAGAATTATCAACCTATGAGGTTTCGTCGAAGCTCTGTAGTCTGAATAATCTTGAATAAAGTCCTGCATCCACTGCTATTAGAGTTGAGTGTGAGCCCGTCTCTACAATTCTACCTTTTTCCATGACGATTATGGTATCGGAGTTTTTGACTGTGGAAAGTCTATGAGCTATTGTGATCTGGGTGGTTCTTGAACACAAGCCAGTTGCTTCCTTCAGATTCATTGCTTTAATAGCATTTACTATGGTTCTTTCAGACTCAGCATCGAGCGCACTGGTTGCTTCATCGAGGAGTAATATTGCTGGCTTCTTCAGTAAGGTTCTAGCAATGGCTATTCTTTGCTTTTGTCCTCCTGAAAGCTGGCAACCTTTCTCTCCAACAACAGTGTTATATCCATTTGGTAAATTACTCACAAATTCATGTATATTTGCTTCTCGAGAAACCTCCACAATTTCACTTTCAGAAGCTCCGTTATTGCCATAGCAAATATTGTCTCGAATTGAGCAGTTAAAAAGCAGTGGCTCTTGTTGTACAAGCCCTATTTGTGTCCTTAACCATCTTAGATTATATTCCCTCAAGTCTTTCCCATCAATTAGTACTTTTCCCTCCACTGGATCGTAAAATCTTAGTAACAGGGCCAAAACAGACGACTTTCCAGCACCGCTCGGTCCTACAAAAGCCACCTTAGATCCAGCTTCGATTTGCAAACTGAAATTGTCAAGAACAGTGACTCCAGGTCTTAAAGGGTACTTAAAATTTACATTTTCAAATTCGACGGTTCCTTCAATCCTCTCGGGTTGTGAGTCGTCTGGTATATCTGGTTCAATTTCAGTTTTGCGGTCAAGGGTTTTGAATGCTGGGGTTAGCATATTGATGGCAGTGATGACAGTTGGGATCAGTGTGTATAATTCTGTGATAGAAGGAACTGTGAGAGAAAATATTTGGTATGCTCTTATTCCATTTTCAAAAGAGGCTTGCCGTCTGTCGACCAAAATTGTAGTGTACCACAAAGCAACGGCGTGTGCAATGTTCCACAAGCAAAGGGAGAAGCCTTGGATGATCCCATATTTGATACTTTCTTTCCTGTACTTTTTCTTTGGAATGTCCAGATAGGTTTTCGCTTTCTTCAGTACTTGTTCTTCATGGCAAAAGGATGCTATAGTCTTTATGTTGGTTGTGGACTCAGATGCAAGAGCGACAAGGTCTGAATGTGACGCAGAGTAGTCGCCTGAAAATCCTTTGGCAGACTTGGCTTGAATGAGACCACCTATGAAGTGGCAGGGCATCACAGCCCATGCCACCAAACCCATTCTCCAGTTGACATACATGCTAACACCTGTTGCTATTAGTATGGAGGAAACACATTGCACAATCACGGACATGCGATCAGCGATGATGATTTTGACCATAGCAGTATCGCTGATGACTCGTGAAGTTAACGAACCGACTGTGTTGTCAGGTTTGTCAAACCAGCCTATTTCGTTACGAAGCACACCTGTACAAGTTTAAATGATTATCGACTAATGTTTGTTAAATCATTCTGGCATTTTACGTATATGATGCTTTGTTTTAGGCTTTTTAGCTCAGGCCGAGAGCTCTTTCTTTCTTCAATGAAAGAGAGTTTAAGTACGTAGAAATTCTAATAGGGAAATATCCAATACCTGAATACAAAGCACGTCTGAAATTCACCATGGCCTTTTCTCCAACCACTCCAAAGAAGTAATGCTGGAAGGTGTGGCTAAATAATGAAAGCAATCCTATTCCAGAGAAGATTGCTGAGAACATTCCAACTTTTCGTTTTGCATCTTCTTCAAAGTATGCTACTCCAATGGTTATGATGTAGAAACCGAAAAACGGCTTTGAGATGCCAGAGAAAGCTGCTGCAAACGAGCCGATAGCAATCTTCACTAGCTCCTTCTTTTTTAAATCAAACCAAATTCTGAAAAATACACTTTCTTCTCTTGTGCTCGTCTTGTTCTGTTCCTCCAGTACAGAATGCTCGGTGAGATCTCTTTGGACCTCTCTCTGGGTCTCCGGTAATGGTCTAGTTTCATCGATAGTGCCTACTTGGCGAGCACTTTTATTCTTGGAAGTTGTTGTTCTATCCATTAAACATTTAAATCTGGTTAGAGTTGTTCATCGAGTGCCATTGGTTCAATATTAGAATATGAATATAAAGTGGCTAATTACCTTAATTCAGGAGCTGATTCAAGGTTCTGCATGCTGAATAATGTACTATAAAATTTGCTCGTTTCTAACAAACTCTGGTGTGTTCCTGTCTCTACGATTTGTCCATTCTCCACTACAGCAATCATATCTGCATTTACAACTGTTGAAAGCCTGTGTGCAATCAAGATGACAGTCCTTCCCTCCATAGCTGTGTCAAGTGCTTCTTGAACCAGCTTTTCCGACTCTGAATCGAGGGCACTAGTGGCCTCGTCAAGCAAAAGAATGGGAGGATTTTTCAGAATGGCTCTTGCAATTGCGATTCTCTGCTTCTGACCTCCTGATACTTGAACACCCCTTTGTCCTACCTGTAATTTCAGGCACACGTATGGGGCGATTAATGTTGTGAAAGGAAAAAAAACTGTAGCCAGAAGACGCGTTTGAAAATACATCAAAATATGATTGATGTATACAAAATATGCAAGTTAATAGAAAAAAAAAAAACAAAATCAGAGAAGCCACAATTAAGCTAACAACAAAAGTGACATGCTAGATTGAGTAGCTCACCTCGGTTAGGTACTGATTAGGAAGCTGTGATATGAAAGAGTGTGCATTAGACATCACTGCTGCCTTTTGAATCTCTTCATCATCTGCATCCATTTTTCCCAGTTTCAAATTATCCTTGATCGTGCCCGTAAAGAGTGATGGCTCTTGGTATACAGCCCCTATATTACTTCGAAGAAACTGCAGATCAAGGTCCTTGATATTGTGACTGTCAATAAAAATTTCTCCTGGAATGTATTGAACAATATCAGGCATGGCTATTTGCATTCAAGATTACACAATCAGTTCCTACTCTTCTATTATTCTAATGTACTAATTAAGCTAACCTCTAGTGGGGTCATAAAACCGAGTTATCAGGGAAATGACAGTGCTCTTTCCACAGCCGCTACTACCAACTAGAGCTACTGTCTTTCCTGCTGGTATGGACAATGACAGTCCTTGAAGGATAGATTTCTCTGGCCGTGATGGATATGAAAAGTGAACATCTCGAAGCTCAATGTAACCGCTAATCTTCGTAGGAATCTTCCCTTTTGATTCATTATGTATTAGTGGCTTTCTTTGGATCACTTGAAAGACCTCATATCCTGCAGCTTTTGCCTGATTGAATGTTTGCATGTCTGGTGCTGCATAAGTGATAGATCTGCAATTCACAGAGAAACTTTTGTTACTCGATTGTTAAACTCTATTTTCGTTCGATATCAAAGCTAACCTCAAGTTTGTCCCTTCCTTACATGGCACCAAAAAGAATACTCATTACTGCAGTTATTATATCTCCTCCCTTTGCTCTACCGGCTCTGACAACAACAGCTCCAACCCATATAATCAGAGACCAAGAACAAAAACTCACAGTTTGAAACATTCCTGTTCCAACTCCCTTCACAAGTGCCTCCCCCTTGCTAATGGCATACTGTTTATCCATGTTCTCTGTGAAGGATTTGACTGCCAAACCCTCTCCAACAAAAGCATATACTGTTTTTATTTGTGATATGGTCTGTCATAATAACAGTATTAGAGTTTGTTATAATCAGTATAGATTAGACTAAAGTATTACCGATATTGAAGACTTAGCTTGTGTATATATGTATAAAATTCACAATTTGTCATGTTGTAACACTATGCATGAATCAATGGTGTATTGGTGTATACCTGTTCTATCATAGACGTGGCTTCAGAATGGTAAAACAATTTGGTAGTTGAGACTTTGTTCATTTTCTTGGTGTAACTTGCTCCAATTATGAGAATAAGAGGGACAACCACTAAACATAGGAGTGCTACTTCCCAACAGGCTATAGCGGCAATCACAATTCCAGCTAAGAAAGTTGCGCAGCTGGAGGTAAAGTGACCCAACTGTGAGCAAGAAAGAAATTCACTTAGTTGGTTCAGTCATAAAAAGAAAGGCGAAACTTGTTACAATTATTTATTTGCTTACCTTTTCACCAATGGCATCTTGTATGACACTCATGTGCTTGCTTATTCCAGTGATGACTTTTCCACTTGTTAATTCTGTATCAAAAGCTCCTATCTCTTGGCTTAGGACTGCTTTTAGATATGCTAATCTTAGGCGCGATAACTGTCTTTCACTTGCATACATCCAACAACCAATCTCTGCGTAAATTTTCATGCAGTTGGTGAATTGGTAGAACAGAATTCCATATTTTTAACTATATGATCATGAAAAATCTGTCATAAACATAGAAAAAAAAATATACCAAGTACTCCAGCAGGAAATGTCGTGATGGCCATGTACCACACGTACGGAACAACCTGAAAGAGAGGACAACAACATCAACAACCTATATAACATTTGTCTGTGTGCATGATATGGATATTGCTAGTATCATTGTTAAGTACCTTTTTAAGAGCAGGAACCATAGCATCAATGTCATGAATATTGTTACCAAAAGCATTAAGAGCTTTTCCTAACAACAAATAACCAACAGGAAGTGCCATGCCATGCACAATAGAACCTAAAGTTCCCAAGCCCATAAGAATCCAATCCACATAGTCAGCATAGCTCAACAGTTTAAAGA